TCTTGAGGTTCAGCAAAGACTTGATGAAATTCATCTCGGTTCCAGGAAACAAAGGTAAATATCAGATTGCAAACAGGCTTTTAGGACACATTTAGGAATCTGACCTGTGTCTTTTGCATAATGTGATATCACTAAAGAATTTTGAGCAGAAAAGTGAAATGATCATCATCATAGTACAGAATTGGTGGCAAGGTTGAAGTGCTATATTAGTCAAATATAGATAAGGAAAAACAAAATGTACTGCAAAGCTTCAAGAAAGAAGCCATAACAGCCAGCACAAAGACCTTGGTAAGTTAAGGGAGGGTGGGAGGAGAACCTAATGGAACTGATTGGAAACCTTCCTATAGAAAAGGGGAGTCTCTGATGGTCTGCAATTTTTCACTTAAATGAGCTGCTAGGATTAACCTATGAGAGTTAATAAAAGATGACCAAAAAACACAAAATTGTCATTTAGGTATAACTACTTTTAAGATAAAAGTGTGAATAAATGAATGCATAGATTGATGAAGGAATTAATCTCAGTGAAGGTCACAGTGTTTATTTATATGAAAATTTATTTTTCTGTTCTCTTATCTGTAACACCAAAATATATGCTACAGAGAAGAGTTACAATAAGTTTTTCAAAGTTTCAAAAGACTCCAACTTTTGATAAGATATTTTGATTAAAAAAATAAGAATAAATCTGGAGACTAAGCAGGCATACTAACAATAAATAGATGTCCTAAAGTCTACATACATTTAGTTGATCCAAAACTTGATGTTATACACAACCAGCCAGATATTAGAAAAAATATTGAATTATGAATTCATGAGGTACAGATTGCAACTTTAAAGTAAGTACATTGAAGACAATAAAAATACAACATGATACACAAATATCAATAGTAGCAAACATGTATTGAACACTTTCTACAAACTAGGTTATGTATTCATTGTGTACATTCATTTGAGACAGAAAGCGGGTGCAGCTGGGAAAGCAAAAGTTTTACTTTACAGATTCATTTGTTATCAAAATGTCTAACTCCTTTATTGTGGTTAATTATCCCTACTTGGAAGACAGTACCAATGTAACTTGGGCATGTCCTAGAAAATTAAAGGAATGAATGAATTTTTAATTATGTGAATTTTATCTTGATTAGCGAAAACAGTAAAAGCAAATAACTATGATTTTCAAAGTTTATGAGAATCTTTTCTGAAAGCTTTTTTTGAACCTGAATCATACCCTACATCCTGTCCCTACCAAGACTTCTTCAAATTGTTGTATTTAAAGAGAGCTCTTACCAATGGGAATGTGTTTTTCATAAGAAAAGAGTAAAAGGACAAAATGAATGAGAATATCTGGTTTAAACTGTTCTTCTTGGTTAACAACAATTTCATTTGGTTTTTAAATTCTAATTTTTTATGTACTTTAGGCAACTTTCTTAAACTTTACAAATGAGATCTATTTATCCATAATATTGGTTAAGAATACATATTCCTAATTCTCCCAAAACTAATGAATCAATAAAGAAATGGGCAAGTGAACTAAACAGAACTTTCTCAAAAGAAGAAATTCAAATGGCCAAAAAACACATGAAAAAATGCTCACCATCTCTAGCAATAAAGGAAATGCAAATTAAAACCACACTAAGATTCCACCTCACCCCTGTTAGAATAGCCATCATCAGCAACAACACCAACAACAGGTGTTGGCGAGGATGTGGGGAAAAGGGAACCCTCTTACACTGTTGGTGGGAATGTAAACTAGTCAACCAACCACTCTGGAAAAAAATTTAGAGGCTACTTAAAAAGCTAGACATTGATCTACCATTTGATCCAGCAATACCACTCTTGGGGATATAACCAAAAGACTGTGACACAGGTTACTCCAGAGGCACCTGCACACCCATGTTTATTGTGGCACTATTCACAATAGCCAAGTTATGGAAACAGCCAAGATGCCCACCACTGACAAATGGATTAAGAAAATGTGGTATCTATACACAACGGAATTTTATGCAGCCATGAAGAAGAACAAAATGTTATCATTCGCTGGTAAATGGGTGGAATTGGAGAACATGATTCTGAGTGAGGTTAGCCTGGCCCAAAAGACCATAAATTGTATGTTCTCCCTCATATGTGGACTTTAGATCAAGGGCAAACACAACAATGGGATTGGACTTTGAGCACATGATAAAAGCGAGAGCACACAAGGGAGGGGTGAGGATAGGTAAGACACCTAAAAAAATTAGTTAGCATTTGTTGCCCTTAACGCAGAGAAACTAAAGCAGATACCTTAAAAGCAACTGAGGCCAATAGGAAAAGGGGACCAGGAACTAGAGAAAAGGTGAGATCAAAAAGAATTAACCTAGAAGGTAATACACACGCACAGGAAATCAATGTGAATCAATGCCCTGTACAGGTATCCTTATCTCAACCAGCAAAAACCCTTTTTCCTTCCTATTATGGCTTATACTCTCTCTACAACAAAATCAGAGATAAGGGCAAAATAGTTTCTGCTGGGTATTGAGGGGGTAGGGGGAAGAGGGAGGGGGCACAGTGGGTGGGAAAGGAGGGGGTGGGGGCAGAGGGGAGAAATGACCCAAGCCTTGTATGCACATATGAATAATAAAATTTTTTAAAAAAGAATGCATATTCCTAACATGAAAATAATTCCGAGAATCTGTATTTATAATGAGCTCCACTAAAATTCTAAATAATTTTTGCACATTTAGCAAACTCTATTTGCATCTCACCTCAATTGTAACAAATCAAAATTCCTGGCAAACAGGCAGTCAGATTTTCATGCTAATAATTAAGATCTGAACTGTCCTTCCCCCCACATGAAAACCCACTATTCTAATGAACAAATATATTTGTTCAGAATCAATGTTTTTTAAACAATTTTCTGAGCATGTATTAATGACTGATTGTTAAATTGATATTCTTAATAGAAAAAATGTTACTTCTTAAATATGAAATAAAGTTTTTGCTACCATCATGTAAATTTTCTAAAATATTTTAGAATACAAAGGAAAATAATTTTTCACTATGTGACAATGCATACAAAGGATATCATGAAAGAAATCAAACAAAAAAGTAAAAGAAAGACACCCCTCCCACCACATTGGATCATCATCTCTATGATGGTTGTTTTACTGTCACAAGGGTAAGGCAATACGTAGGAAGAGGGTAAACTGCTCTGGTAAAGGTTGACAATCACACTATCATATATATAAAAACAAAGCTTGAACCTAGAAGGGGGACCAGTCCTTAGACATGTGGGAAGATGAACTCCTATACTTCTATTCTCGTTTGGCCTTTCCAGTGGTTGGTTACTCTGACACTGAGATGCAGTATGGTGAATAGGCAGAAACATCTCTCCAGAAACCCCAGCTGATGGTGAATGAATTATATCATATATATATATATATATGCGTGTGTGTGTATATATATACAATTAATACAGTTGCACATTTCTTTGTGTTTTTCTTTTTATCATTTAGCTTTACAGCAGCTTTATAGCACTTTTTCAACTATGTTTCAACCTCTCCTCTACCAAAATTGGCTATTAAATAAGGATATATTTCATGGGACAAAACATTAACAGTAAACATTTGTCTCTTTAAAGCCAGGATTACTGAAGAACCAGAAATTGGCAAAACCTTCAATCTCAGGAAACAGTATTCAGAACTAATAGAATTAGATTAATTTCTCCCAATTTTAATTTTAACTTCTACAAAAGAGCTAATTATTCATAATTCCACATCAGAGAGAGGTAGAAATCTGAGGGGAATGGGGAGGGGTAGGTAGGTGTGGGTATCTGTGTGTGTGTGTGTGTGTGTGTGTGTGTGAGAGAGAGAGAGAGAGACAAGCTGGTCTAAAAAGTAGTTTTATTAAGTAAAGGATGATGGAGAAGTGTAAGAAAATGAATGGGGCAGAAGGAGAAGAAAAGAGCAAGAAATGAGATGGAAAAATAGATAGGAGGAGAAGAAAGAGGCAAAGAAAGGAGGAGAAAATAATGGACAGAGAGAAGGCATAAGAAAGCAGAACTGTAATAAAAATTGTAATGCAAATAACATTTGTTCAAAGAACATTACAAGTTTGGAACTACAAAGTAAGACATATATTTCACATTAAAAGTTTACCTTTAAGAAAGAAGATCTTTGAATATATAATTCCTAAAACACTTTTCTATTATTTTAATAGGTGAAAAATTAAGAAAGACACTAAAATTTCTAATACATATCAAACTTACAAATTATACAATATTAAACACAGTTATATTATCAATAAATAATATACACTATCAATCAAAACTAGGATCAGAATGAAGATAATAAAGAATCTACCATCTCTTGACATTCTAAGTAACTGTATTCACCATCAAAACTATACAAAAGCATAAAATCCCCTTTAACATTCATAGGTAAAACTCTAATTTTCTATTATAATACCAAAAATTAACTTATTTTTGCAATATACATTATCGTACCAAGAAAAAAAAGGCTACAACCTCAACCATTTGGTCTTTATTGCCCTGACTACTTTTCTTCTTTTTGCTGTGTGGAAAAGGTTCTTAGTATCATTCCCTAGCAAAAAAAGCACCGACCACAGTAAAGCCCAGGCCTCCTTCCTTCACTTTATTAACATCTAACACCCTATTAATCTCATGCTACTGAGAAATAACTGTTCCAAATAAATGTTACTTATTCCTTTAGGAAGCAAAGGAGATTTTTGTTGTCAAAGTCATATTTTATTTATTTATCTAATATATCCTCTTGACAGTCTAACAAGTTCAATGCTTTCTGCCACATATTTGACAGAAACGAAGATGAATCCAACACAGATTTTAGTCTAGCAGTCCTAAGTAATTTCCACATGCATGACTGTAATTTCCACATTCATAACTGACATTAGAAATACTAAAATAAATGCTCTGTGAGGATTAATTACATGTGATAACATTATAAATCAAGGAAGGATTCCATGGAAATACTGTTATAAAAAAGGAGACATACCAATGTGATGGGATTTGAATACCAACAGCTGTGGAGGAGAGAAACAAGTATAAACATTCATGGTAGGCACTTTATGCAAACTGAAAAAGGGAAAGGTAAAAAATAAAAACAGAACATACAAGTCATAAACTACTTGACTAAAACTTTCAATTTATTCTGTAGCTAGTGATAAGTAAATCTTTAGTTTGAGTGGTAAAATATGATCAGAAAACTAAGTCCAATATTAGTATGCAAAAACAGTATGGAGGAAGAGATAATTCATCTGAGACGAGACAGCAATATAACTAATTAAATCAGTAAGTAAGGAAATATTTAAAGCACATAGACATATTTCTGCAATACCATATGTGGGACTCAAAAACTGAACTATTAAAATGATCAAACAGAGTGAACAGTGCAGCTAATGTAAGTCCCAATTATTATGAAGACGGTAGCCCTCTTAATCAGAAGACTTCAGAACACTGGAGGCTATGGGACTGGAGACAGTAATTCAGTGTTATATATTCTGAGGTTCAGGGAACAAAAAGACCTCCGTATGACAATTATCTCTTAGCAGCTAAGGATATAAGAATGAGAAGAGAAGACTTTCATGAAATTGAGTAAAAATCCCTAATAAAATGTAAATGCTATGAAAGCAGAGATGTTTTCTGCTTTGTTCACTGTCATATCCCAAGTGCTACAAGAGTGTCTGGTACTCAACATATATTCAGTATTTCCTCAAAGAATGCCACAGAACCAACCAAACTGAGAGAGAATGAAAGAATCTGACACAAGAGTTCTTTCTTGTCAATACAATACAAGGGTTCAAAAGACTGATCTTATAAACGACAAAGGTCAAACATAAAAGTACAAAGGGAATTCAGACAAGAATATGAGAACAGCATTAATAATCATAGGAAAACCAGAGAAAGAGACTATTATAGAAGTCACAGTGGGTAAGTCTCATGACAAAGAAAACGGTGACTTTGTAAGACTCAACTGACAAAATACTTACTTTTTACCTACCTTGCATGGTTGCAGATCATATTTCACACAGTGCTGAAAATCTTTTCCTTTGGAGTTTCCTGATGTATCTACTGAGCCAGCAAAATAGCCAACTTCTTTGCATACAAAACTGTAATGAATGTGCAATGATATAGTAATCAGATAAAAGGAAACATATACCTAATGCCCATTAAATATGATTTTATATAAAAATAAAACTTAATTCCTTGAAAAGTAGTTTAACATAGATCAAATAAAAACTAAAACATAAGAGAGTTATAGTAACTAAAACACAAGGAATTCAACCTAGGAAATAAAGGACTACTGCAGCTTTTAATATTTCAGTTTAAAATATCAGGATACATAAGAACTAACAGTCAACAAAGTCTACCAAGTAGACTTCATCTACCTTTAAGGACCATCTGCAATTAGCAAACAAAACAACTTGCTCTCTAAGTCACATATACATTAGAAAATAGCTTACAAATTTTAAAAATGCCAATTTTGATTAATAATAGAGCTGATTAACAAAGAGTATAAAGGGACTCTAATTATGATATCATACATGGTTATTATTTTTTAATCATGTAGCAATTATGTTCATAAATAAAATAAGTAAAAAGTCAAAGCAAATAAAATCTAGACGGAATCTGGCTTTTTTTTTTCCCTCTCCTGGATGAGGCACCAGCAACATGAAGCACCCTCACAACTGATGGGCAGGAAGGACTGAACCACTGAGTCTTCAACTGTGGAGAAAAGTAAGTTAAAAAAAAGTCACCTAGACATAATAGTAAAATGATAAGTAAATAAAATTTATTTATCTGAATGTTTAGTTTTAACATATATATACTCTAAAATAGACTTATACTATATTATATAAGTACAAATTTTAATAACTTAAAGGAAAAAATCCTAAAGTAAAGCAAATTACTCACCAATAAAAATGAGGCTTTATCCTTTTCAACATTAATGTTATTAATGGATCCACACGAAGCCAAGTGTTCAGGGTGAAGCCAATGTGATAAGGACAATTTGCAAAAGGAGGCAATGAAATTGCCTACAAGGCAATGAGAAAAAGTAAAGTATCAGCTAAAGAAAATATTGAGTCACTAAAGGAGAAACCTGGCCTTACAGATTAAAAAAAAATCATAAAATCATGAACAGCTATAAAAACAGAAACAATTATGTTACTTAAATAATCTAATACATACTGTTTGTTGTCTATACCACGATTATATTTTCAAATAGTGAATTAAATTTCATATCTACATTACAGTGAGTTTTAGACTATTCTAACTTCCCCTCTAGGGGCAGACAGAAAAGAAAGAAAACAAAAATTCCCCTCTAACTTCACCAACACACAGTCCCTTACACATATGCCTCAGAATTTCAGTTTTCTATGTTTTATGCTAGTTTTCAGAAATATTTCATTAAAGGAGGTTGAATCTTTGCAGCCCAGAACAACTATGCCAGAGAATGTTAATGGAATCAGTATTGGAATACAAACGTAATTGATAACATTCCTTATGCTCACATCACTGAAACAAGGAGGGGAAAGCATGGGATTTGTTCTTCAGAAACTTAACCATTGAAATTTATGACTAAAAAAAAGTACTGAGATCCATTTACAGATAGAAAAGCAACAATACAGGACTTAACTCGTATTAATAGTAAAATGAAATCTAGCCATTCTAAGGTATGAGAAAAATGATCGATTACTTGACTTGCTTTATTTATCTTCCTAGAACAAATCTAAACTCCTTCACATAAGATTCCCAGTATGATTGTATGATTGACCTTTCTCCAAACTCATCCTTCGTTTATCGTTAATAATTACCTTTCCAAAATTGAACAAGTAGCTTACGTAACAGAAATCCTCTGCAGTGCTGGGGTGTAGCTCAAGTGTAGAGGACCTGCCTAGCAAGCACAGGCCCTAAGTTCAAATCCCAATACCGCCAAAAATCCCCAATCCTCTGCGTATAGTATAAAGATTAAACTTCTTCAGGTTCTACAAGCCAAGGAGGAGGAGAAGGGATGAGCAGCGCTGTGGAGCTGGGCACTGCTCAGGTGCAGGAGAGGACCGAGCAGAGGTCGCATGGTGGCCTGGCTTTGCAGCGCGGGCAGGTCACCCGCTGGGCAGCACCCTCGGGGCGAGCCGTGCTCCCGGGGACGCGCAGCGTGGCTGACCCCGGGTGACCCCGGGTGCAGGGGGCGCTGGGGACCGAGGATGGGGTGGGGGACACTGGGGACGGCTTTTCCCTTACCAGGTTGAGCACCATCTCCACGATGTCCCTGCTGCTGACCTGTCCGACCTGCAGGAGTCCAAACTGCGAATTTCATCTGGATGGTGCTGATCGGCACTGAAAGGTAACTCGTCCCCGCGGGGAGCGGAACCGGAGCCGGAGTCGGAGCCGGACGCCCCATCAGCCTCACCATCCCGCTGCCGCCGCCGCCTTCGCCACCGCCTCCGCTGCCGGCCCGGACGGCGATGGGCTCCACGGGCTGAGGCTCGAGCCCCGGGCCGGACCGGCTTGTCGCTCGCCATGGGCCCCCTCCTGAGGACAAGGGACGAGCGGCGGCGCCGCCTCCTCCGGTACCGTTGTACCTGCCTCGGCCGTCGCCTCGGAGACCCGGCCTCCACCAGCGCTGCGGTGCCGGGCCCGCTCCGGCCTGCGCCTCAGACGGCCCGCTCGGCGCCCTGCCCGGCCCAGGCTCGCTGGTGGTGGAGGCGGCGGCGGCAGTGGCGGCGGTGAGGTCGGCGGCAGCGGTGGCGGCGCTGGTGTTGGTGGCAGAGGCGGCGGCGGGGAATTCGCAGCCTTCTTCCTGACGGGAGGCGGTGTCCGCTCAGCTGAGCCGCTGTCTCCTCTGTATTCCGTCTCTTCTCTCTCTTGCTCTCCACCTCCAGGTCTGTCCGCCCGGCAGAGATGCTGCCCCGGAGCTGAAAAGCCCTAGGGACGAGCAGCTGGCCACGGCTGCTGGCCCGTGCGGAAACGCAGGCTGCCGTCGACGCTGCTCTGGGCCCCACAGCCGTTGCGAAGCCCGGACTACGCCGCTCACGCCGCCGTGGCACCGCCCCCTCCTGCGCTAGCGGCCACTGCGCCTGCGCAGAGCGTACGGGGCGGAGTCCTGGCTTCTCCGCTTCTCTTCGCCCTGCCCACCTTCTCTTCCCCACCCACCCCGCACCTGTGTCCCTCCCAGGCCACCCAGAAAGGTTTGACAGGGAGCAGGTGCAAGGGGACCGCTGCCAGACCCTGTGGGTGGTGGCTTCCTTGTGGGTGCCCCCTTGAGGGTGGATTCTCCCTGAGGGAAGGACCCTGAGTGCGTGTCTTTTCCTCACTGCCGCCACCTCCTCCTGTCTTCTAGATCCTCTCACTGGGAGGAGGTTCATCCTCCATCCTCCTTATTGCAGCCAGCTGCCTCTACTGCCAAGTGCCCCTTAAGGTAAGGGAATGGCAGAAGACTTCTCTCTGCTGTTCTTTCCCCTTCCTCGCATTCAGTCCGCCTGTTACCCCCCCCTTCCCCCTCACCACAAACACACACACACACACACACACACACACACACACACACACACACACACACACACACACGAAAAGTGCCTGTGGCAAAGGAAAAGTGGCTGGCAAAGTAGAAACAGACGCCCCGGGAGGGCTGACGATCCTGCATTGTCCAGAAGGAAACAGATGGACAGCAATGTTTTTTGTGTGTTTGTTGCTTGTTTTTTGCTTTTTCTACAGTCATGAAAGAGGCTGGCACCTGCACACAGCGCGACCTGAAATAGAACTTGTCAAACCGTGATCCCAACTCGCCTCCCAGTCTAAAGGCGGCCCTCTGTGACACCGTGCAGTAGTTTGATGGGAGCAACAAATCACACACTTTTAAAAATCCCTAGCGATCCTCAGGTATGATGTCAATTAGTGATGCCTCCCCTTTTCATAAGTGTGAACGGGGCAGAGGATTTTTGAGATTATATGAAAATAGGGGCGATCCTCGCTGTCAACCTTATTCTGTTAGAAGAGTAGAGTCTTGATGTCTGCATAGATACAGATTTTTAAAAGTCTTTTAATTTAAAAAATTAACTCAGGCAGATATTGAAAATGATTCAAAGAGAATCCAAAGACAAATGCAAGATGCATTTCTAAATCAGGACTAATGAAATGAATACACAAATACAGACAAAATTGTTTTTTCTATAGGGGAGGATGGTCCCTCCATCAGATAGAATTCAGTTGCATGTGCATAAAAAATTTATTTTGCAGTGTTGCAAGCTACTTACAAGTTATAGAATTGGAAGAAATTTCTAAATCACACTCAAATAAATGGAACAGTGTGCTATAGGCATGTATAGTTTTCTATTGAAGCACAGTTTTCCTTATAGTCTAAAGACACTGCAATGTTGACATTGCTGAACAGGTATTGCAATGCTGAATTGTTCAAATATGTTCAGAAAAAGTCTAACTGGTGAGTTTCAGGCATAAACATTGTATTGATGGGAGTTGACTTGAGATTGTGAGAAGAGACTTTTTCTTACCAAATCTTGTATGTAAGGCACTTAGAATCCATATATCACCTATTGGCATCATTCAAGTCAATTATTTTACTACTAAGTTAGCACTTATTGGAAACAAGGAATTTGTAGACCTTCTTATTTTGAGTAGAGTTTTGGCAGAGGAGTTATTAGACACAAAACAAGATGAATTTTTGGGTAAGAACCTGCGTATTTGCTGCTGTTTTTCTACAAAGAAGTTTCTTCTGGAGTTCAACATGAACAGATGTCCAAAAATATTTCTATGAAATTAAAAGCACAATGGCATACATTTTCATCCACTAGAATAGTTATAATAAAAAAGACAGGTAATAAAAAGTGCTGTTGAGAATGAGAAAAATAGTGGACCTTCCATATTTGTTGATAGTAAAATAAAATGGTAACAGACAATTTAGAAAACAGTTTAGCAGTTCCTCAGCATTTTAGCATAAATCATCCTATGATCTAGCTATTTACTGCCCCTCTCTGCAAATTAAAACACTTTTATACAGTGAAACTTATAAAGGTTCATAGCATTCAAAGTAGCCAAAACATGGAGGCATCCCAAGTGTCCATCAAGTGGAGAATGGATACATAAAATGTGGCATGTCTCTACAATGGCATATTATTTGGCAATAAAGAAAACTCAAACACTGATTCATGCCAGAACATAAGTGAACCTTGAAAACTTTATGCGAAAGGAAAGAAACCAGAGACAAAAGACCATATTATTTGTTATTCCAGTCATTGGAATAAGCAAATCTATAGATATATAACGTGGTTTGTGGTTGTGGAGGGGTCAGTATGGGAACATGGACTGGCTGTATGTAAGCTGAAAGATTTTTGGGGGATCATGGTCATGTTCTAAAATTATATTGTGATGCTCATCATTGTACAATTCCCTAAATACACTAAAATCACTGAATTGCATTTAAAATAGATGCATTTTAAGGTGTGGTAATTTCATGGCATGTAAATTCTATCTGAATAAAGCTATTAATGAAATCTGTACACATCAAATGTTCTTATCTATAAGATATTCTTGCTGAGGATAACATTTTCCAATTATCTTCTGGGTTTAGTCTCCCTATCA